CATGGCTCCTGGAAGTGTCCCCCTTCCCAATCCAACTCCCCCAGGTTCCACAGTGCTACGCTCAAGGCAGAGTCCTTGCTCCCCTTTGCGGGGGTGGGCGGAGCAGTCTCCCTCTCTTGCCAGCCCCCTCCCACACTGTGGCTCAGCTCCTGTCTCCCCAGCTGCAGGAGGGGGGGTCTCTCCCACCCACACAGCCATTCCATGGCTCCTGGAAGTGTCCCCCTTCCCAATCCAACTCCCCCAGGTTCCACAGTGCTACGCTCAAGGCAGAGTCCTTGCTCCCCTTTGCGGGGGTGGGCGGAGCAGTCTCCCTCTCTTGCCAGCCCCCTCCCACACTGTGGCTCAGCTCCTGTCTCCCCAGCTGCAGGAGGGGGGGTCTCTCCCACCCACACAGCCATTCTCTCCCTTGCTCTGCCTCTGCCACCTCCCCCTCCCTCACTGCTCCCTCTTGGTTTGGTTCCTCGCAGGCTCCCTGCAGCTCCAGTGTGACAGCTCCGGGGCCTGCATGTGCAAGGCCAGCGTGACTGGCTGGAAGTGCGAGCGCTGCCGGGCCGGGTTCCACTCCCTGAGCGCAGGGGGCTGCAGGTGAGAGAACACGGGCTCCCCTGAGCTTGTGGGGAGCTTGGCCCCTCTCCGCTTCCCACCCAGGAGTGCAGACTTGGCTCCGACCTGAGTCTGGCAGGGCCAAGGGCTGATAGGCAGGTGAGTGGGGGTGGGGAGCGGGTCTCACGTTGTCGGGTTTTGCCTCTGCAGCCCCTGTGCCTGCGACCCTGCAGGCAGTGTGGGGACCTGTGACCCCAACTCAGGGCGCTGCTCCTGCAAGGAGAAGGTGGAAGGCTACCTGTGCAACAGGTGAGTGGAGCCCCGGGCCGTGCTAGGGACTGGGTGTGGGCAGACCTGGAAAAAGCTCTCCCCACACACCCCCTTCAGGGGTCAGGGCTCCTGGCATGAGCTCAGTCGCTGCTGTCTCTTTGCTGGGGCCGTCTCTCCTCTTGGGCTAGACATGCTACCGGGAGCACCATGGGTGGTGGGTATGCTAGGCGGGGGAAGGCATTGCCTTCCCCATCTGCCAGGCATGGCCCCACCCATACTGCACCCCCAGAATGCCTCCAGGCCAGGGAGGCTGGGGGCCCCAGGGAGGCTGGGGCTGCACACTGCCCTACCTCTCCGTGATGCTGAGGGGGTGGGGCCTGGGCAGAAGGGGCGGGGCTGAGGTTCCTGCTAGAGCAATGGAATATGGGTTGGAGACCAGAGGAACTGAACGCTCTCTGCTCCCTCCTGCAGGGAGGGGCTGGGAGTGCAGAGTTAATTCCCAGAGCCAGCACTCCTTTCCCATTCTGGGCAGTTCCTGTGCCCGCTGTGGGGGGTCCACGCTGCCTGAGAGAGGCCAGGAACACAGTATTTGAGGTGTCCTCTACAGCACCACCTCTCCAGCGACTCCTGCTGGGAGAAGTTGGTATCTGGACTCGTTTGAAGCCCTTTTTTAATCCCTCCCTCCCTCCCTCCCACCTCCGCGCACACACACACACCCATTGCCCCTTAGCTGCATCCTTTGGGGAGTCCCTCCCACTGCAAGCCTCCCTGACTCTTCAGCACCACTGCCATTTTTTGTTTCCCTGTGTCCAGGTGCCAGCCTGGCTCGTTCAACCTGCAGCCCCACAACCCCGCCGGCTGCACCAGATGCTTCTGCTATGGCCACTCGGCTGTGTGCACTGCAGCCAACCAGTACGAGGTGCACCACGTCAGCTCTGACTTCAGCCAAGGTACCCGACCCAAGGCCGGTGCCAGTGCAGTGGTCTGTTTATTGGGAAAGGGGAGGCAGGGCTGGAGGCTGGCAAGTCACTGAGCATTGTGCTAAGGCTTTAAAAAGTTCGGGTCTGGCTCTGAACATCCTGGTTTGGCTTAGAATGTGGGGTGGGCGGGAGGCAGTCCCTTAGCTCCCCCTCACTCTTGTACCAGCTGAGTTTAAATTTGCCACCATAAATTTCCCCGGCGGCACGGGTGGCTGGTACAAGAGGCAAGGGGAGGCCATGCCTTTCATGGGTCTTAGCACTCAGCCTCTCACCTCTTCCTATCCCTATTCTGACCTTTTCTGCAGGCTCCCAGAGCAGGCTGTTACAGCCTGGTTAGTCTTCCCCTGGAGCGGATCTAGCATCTTCAAAGTGTTAGATCCTTCCAGCTTGCCAGATCTATTACCACAACATTAAACCTATGAAAGATCCATTAAGTGGTAACGAAGCCATTTAACAGGCAGGGGCCAGTCCAGGGGTTTATACTGTCCGTTTCTGAATTTAGGGACAAAAGTACTTGTGCATTATTGTAATATGGCTATGGGACCTTCCTTTAAAATTTGCTTTGAATATTTCATTCTAAAATCCTTGTATATATTTTTAACGCACGTTTTTAGCCTTAAATGCTTGAGTCTTCAGACATGTTTTTTTAAAATAAGTACTATACTTTAAAAGATCATTCTTATCTGAAAACGCACATTTTAATTGTAATTAATATAGTGCAAAAACTTGCTTCCAAAGTCTTTCTGTCCATCCCTGCTCTCCTGTCAACACCGTATTGAAGAGAGCCATTAAAAAGACAACATCCGTTTTCTTCCAGATATATGGACAAATGAGTGTCCTTTTCCCCCCTCACTTCTGATTATTTGATGAGCTAGTTTTAAGAGACATCCCCCACCACACACAAAAATTAGTACATTAGTAAGATATGAAATCCTTTGTTATGCCTAAAATCTTTGGAAACATTTTTAACCTATTGCAACATTTCATAAAAATGTGTGTGGCTATGGAGGTCACACTAATTAAATTAGTGTTCCCTTTTTCTAAAAGCATCGAACTTTGTTATGAACCTACTCAACTGACCTGAATGATTATTTAAAATAATGTCTTTGTGTCAGTGCTTTATATTTGTAGTAATCTGGAATGATTACATTACGAAGGCTTAAGTGTATGTTTAAAATATACAGTCAGTTTAGACATACTGTTTGAGACAACGTAAAACAGAGAAGAGCTGCATTGTGTATTCCATAATATTTAATGTTGTATTAAGCAGGATAGCTGACTTGCCCTTATTACAAAGTTTTTGCAAATAAATCTCTCTCAAATTTCAGAATATATAAAAAATAACCTGACAAAATTAGGTGCTTCTAGGTACTTTCTGCATGTCCTGGCTTTGCAATCTGGTGAGCAGTGAAAACCTTGCTTTTTCTTTTAGAGACAATTTAGAAGAGGGCTTTTTTTTCCAAGTGTCATTTGTACATTTGGGTTCAGGGATTTGGCTGGAAGTGGTGAGCAGAGAGGAGTAAGGGGCAGAGACGAGTAGAGGGTGGGGTCTGGGCAGACTGGGGGCGGGGCGTAGGTGGAGCCAGGGGTAGAGTATGGGTGGGGCCACATGCTGCGGAACTGCCTCCCTAAGCAGCTGCTTCATCCACTGCCCATGCCTGGGGGTTTCAACAGGACCCAGTATTTCCATTCACTTCCTACCCCGCATGGTATTATTGGGTGGCCATGTCAATCACTAAGTGGAGCTCAGGGAAGTGGTTGCTGCAGGGGTCCCTAGATACGGCATACAGGCAGTCCCCGGGTTACGTACAAGATAGGGACTGTAGGTTTGTTTTTAAGTTGAATCTGTAT